AATAATATGATCCAAGATACTATTAAACAGTTATAAGGTAAAATAGAGATACCAAAATCCATAAACTACCAGTGCAAAAAAAAACCATAATAGCACTCAGAAGTATACAGAATAGTATGAATCATCTAAGCATTGATGAAATTCATTACAGAACAGTTGTCTATTAATTTAGAGTAAATAAAAGTTGACAGGTGGCTGCTAGCTACAACTGAGACAAGCTACAAGCATCAGAATACCCGTGGAAAAAAAAAAGTTGTACTCTACATTCAACACGCACATTTCTATTTCATTAAACCATGAAAGATTCACCTAGGGACCAATATAAATGTCATTTGCCCTGTTTGGTAATTTGAAGGTGATCTTAGTTTAAAAGGCAAGACATGAAAGCATTGCATCTTCAATGATTCTATATACAAAAGAAAAGAATTTTGATAATATCATGACTCAATGATGCTGATCCTTTTAGAATTGTCAACACTGTCATACTCATTACTACAGCAGCAAGTATCTTACTAAATATATGCTGTCATGTGATCTAATTCAAGCTAATTCACCAACATACATTAAGGAGAGGGTTAATTGCGGATAGACCCCCACACTAAATTGCGAATAAACCACCCGTACTTCACTGGTTTACTCGCTATAAACTTGCATAATGATCATTATGTATAACTAATTGAAATATAAAAAACTAACGGAGTTGAGAACCCTGAGGGTCTATCTGCGACAATCGAAGTACATGAGCTATACTTTGGTGATAGTACATGGGGGTCTATCCGCAATTAACCCTTATGAAGAGTATGACAACTTAAACCCACTCAGCTTTGCTCTTCTCAATGTTACAACAAAAGTGCCCCATAAGTTTGAGTCACATCCTCCAACCATAAAGGAGAAGATAAATCTATAATCATCTATTAACAGCTGAAGTGGGGCCTTTGCCACCTCCAACAAATCATGAAGCCTTCACCCCCAGCTTTTTCTGCAGGCCTCTTTGCTGGTTGTCCTCCATTTTTTTATTCCCTTTGTCACACCAAACCCTAGGTGTACACTGAAGGGGGATTTTCTTTTAGGCCTCTCTCCCTTCATTTTTACCTTCATCATCTTCTTTGGATCATTTTGAGATCAAAATCGAAGTCCTAATTGCGAACGCATGTCAAATGATATCTGTGTTTCAGTGCTTTATGTGTTAATGTGTATTTGAATGTTAGGTTTAAGTTGACAGAGATATTCTTGCATTACATCCAAAAAAAAAAGAAGAAGAAGAAGAACATGTTGTATGCATAGAACTATTCATGATGGATGGATTTACACTTTATACATAGTTAAATTGTACATGGTTCAAAATGAAGTGAGTTAACAACTAGCTCAACATAAGCAACTCCGGGCAAGTTCATTGATGTAATGAAAGTGAACCATGGTGAAAAATTAATCAACACTTCCATCTTCAGACAAGTTTATTTTAGACTTAGAAGTTGCACCTTATTTTCAGTTCTATGTTGATACAACAAAAGCTGAGTTAACAAATTATTTACATAACATATACATATATCCTGAGGCAAGTTTAGCTTAGACTTCATAAGCTCTCAAAATGGGGAATTTATGTAATTAACCTTTAATTCTATGATATACAACGAGTCATGGGTACTAAACTCACCACCAAAAGACCTAGTTTGTAGTTTTGAGCATAAGAAAAATAAGTGAGATCAAAACAGAGAGCTAGACAGGCGATCTTCATCATGAAAGTGCAAAAAATAGGAAGCGTTAATTCAATTACTTTTAAGTTCGCATCTAAATATAAGTCATCCAACTTGAAGGTTTATGTAATCATTCCATATACAGTCAACCAGTTGAACATTTTATAACCTAACATCAAGTTGACAGGTGGACAGACTACGTATATACTTTAACTGAATTATCAAACATAAATAGTGTAGTTTTGATCCATGTGAAACCCATATTCGTTATGTCTTCATACTCCATCACTTCCATCATTACCAAATCTAATTAAATGACTCCCATTTGTGAAGTCTTATAGTACTTAAGATTCATGAACATGGTGAAAACTGTAAAGCTGACACAGCAATCATAAACCTAGATGAACTCTCATCAATTCCCTATATTGCCTAACTGAAGAATAATGGAGATAGCTGGCCCTTGATTCTTGAGAGCTAAACCCCAAAGTTATCTTAAGTGGGGTTGTCCTCCTTAAGGAAGCACATGCTGCTACTCATAAAGTAAAAATAATAAGCCTTTATTCCTCCTTTTAGCCCAAACCCCCCACATTCCAATCCCGATGAACGCGTTAAGAAGCTAATGAAGATATGTCATCATCATCATCAAGTTCATGCTTGTGGAGTTGGACTACTCACCAATAAGCTGCTGATTGGCAAGAAAAAGATGGGCGCTTTAGAATATACATCTTCTTCATTTTAGTTGGCAACACCATACAGAGGTTAGGCCATCCACATGTCTCCATCTGTCCCTGCAAGAAGAACAATATGCAGGATTATCATTTAGAATGAAACTAGCGACCAAGATCTCAAAAGAAAAACTCATTGACAATGAAGCTCTCTCAAAATAAAAATTAGAAAAAAAAAATCTACGCATAGGCGTGTGGAAGTTCAATCAGTACGCCATTCCAGTATATATTCGAGGTTAAGTTACCTTGGCCATCCAATTCACTTGGTGATGTTAAGAACACATCCACTCCATTCCTCAAGCTCAGGTAGGATAATAAATCATTTGCAGCATGGGAACTTGGTAGCAAACATTTTATGTCGTACATTACGAACAAGCATAAAGGAGGAAATGAGTTAAATATCAAATAGAAAAAAAGGAAATGATTAGGGACATGAAGAGTTTCACATTTCAATTAACCTGGTTGTTAACCTGATTGTCCAATACAAAAGATCCTCATAACTGTTGCAGATATAGTTGAGTAATTGAAAAGGCCAGTTAAGTAAACTTTTGGTCTTTCTCAAGCTTTTACCATGGAGGTCTGAAATAGGTAGTGCTTCATGACGAAGAAAGTTAATATAGAGATCTATAGAGATCTGAAAACGATATCATATATTATATTAATCTTTGTATGAGAAAGTAAACATGAACGTGATAACACATATAATGGGACAAAAGGCTAAAAGAACGAAATGAAATCTAGTAAGAACTTAAGACCGAAATTTACTTCTACACAGTATGCACATCAACTATTGGAGAATAGTAATCACAACACTGCTCATTTCAAATATAATTTCTTGTTTGTCAGCATCTAAAGTTGTACTGCTTCAAGTGACAAGAAAAGAACAAATTGAATGTGGGCTACTTGAAATCAACACGAATATCAGGAGGGGGAAAAAATTACAGCGCAATCAAATAAGATGGCAGGAGCTCCAGCAGCGATTTTTTTTTTACGAAAGTGTAGCTGCATTGTGATGAAAATATGTAGTGAAAGTTAACAGCTTTCTTCAGCTGTGAGAGCAAGCTTCCAACATCAGCACTTGATTATGTGTCAACGGTATATTATCTTAGTAAAAAAATGTTATCACCTCACAAGAATTTCTTAGTATTTCCCCTTTAGGTCGCGTCCACCACTAGCACACTTTGACTCCATCTACCTCCTCCTCTCTCTACATACCCACCTCTATGGCCCGTAACTTGACTCTGATCGCTAGATTGATGGTTATCAGGAGGAACACCATCTACAATCCTGAAAATCTCTTGGATAGGATTTTGAAAATGGGAATCTTTCTTTGAAACTGAGCTTTCATCATCAAGACCCAAAGTGTGCATTTTCTCACATTTTAAAGCGCATTCATTGACAGGAGAAATATCAGGATTAATATCCCATTTTCTATGTGGGCCTTGCTCATATTCGGGCCTAGACCTGAAACTTGACAAGTTGATGTTAAGAAACTCCTTGAGAAAAGGCGCACTTTAGCAAAGTTATACTGTAAGTAGCACACAAGTAAATTAGTAACCACACCTGGAGAGTAATCGCAAATTTGAATGGATGTATAATAGATCATCTGCATAATTTGCATTCAATATATTTTGTTTTGCAGTACGGATAAAACTATAAGTACTCCATGGCCTCTCAACAGAGGAGGTGCTAATTGATTGTGCAAGTACTCTAAACGCCATGTTTCTCAGTTCTTTTGTATCCCCTCCATGAAACTTCCACCACTGTTGAGCATTTATTTTTGGATTTCTGGCATCTCTTTTGGCTGTTGGAGAGGAAAACTTTCCCTTCTTCTCTATAAAAGACATGAACTGCACACGAACAGTATCTGCTTGTTCATCATTCTGATGCAGTTTACATATTGCAGCCATGGCACCCTCAAAAATATCATCATCCTGGTCTGTTGATTAAGTTAGAAAAATCAAGCCTAGGAGCCTTGCACATATATACAGATAAAATGAAGGATATGAAATTAGAAATTGATTTAAATGCAACCATAAATAAGACAGACACACACAGACACACACTGACACACACACGCACACACACCCATCCACCCACCCATACAGCCACCCACCCACCCACGCATACACGAATGACACACATACATACAGACATACATACCTGGCGGGCATCGTTTTTTGCCACATGGATCTGGAATTTGAAGGTACTCTTCATCATAATACTTTGGAGTGAGGGAATAAGCTAAACATTGCAGCGGAAAAGTTGTATTGTTCCACCAATTAAAGACCTTTTCTTTAACAACCGTAAAGATATCCTCTCGTTCTTTCAAGTTGTCTTCAATTTCTCCTAACATATTATCCATCTTCTCACATACTTCTCCAATGATGGGGCCATCTTGATTGCTAAATCTCATCATTTTATACACTGGTTTGATAATCGATAAAGCCAATTGTACTGTTTCCCAGAAGTTCTCTGACATAACCGCTGCTTTAACGTCTGCTCCTGTGAGCCTTACTTTATCATCTACATTGGGTAAAGTAGCCCACTGTTCTCATTGATCAGATAAGACAGCGGATATCAGAGATTCTTTTACCTCAAGAAGAAGATGAAGAATAATACAGTGTGAGGCTGAGACTTCATTAGCAACTGTTATTACTGCCAGATGAGAATAGGCTTTTAAAATTTCTACTGCATGGGAATGACATATGATATAATTCCCTATACCTTTGGCTATTGTATATGTCTTTTCAAGCCAAGGAAGAGAATTTATAGTATCCTTTAGTATTGACTTCGATGTGTAGACCATGCATGGAGTCCAAAATATATAGGGATACGCTTTGCCCAAGTCTTCACCTAGAGAATTACAGAGCTGCGTTGTCTATTATAAATTGAATAACAATATTTGGCCCCATATTTTCAATTGCTTCTAAGATGTAATGTGAGACGCTTTTCTGTGCCTTCTCAACAACTAAAAAGTTAAGAGCACGTAAAAACATAGACCCGAAATGGTTCGAAGCAAAGAAGTTTATTAGGGTTTGTTTCTTGGCTTTTCTCCAACCGTTTGAGTCAATAGAAATGCCATATTGAGTCCACTTCTTCTTGAATTCATCAAATTCCCTTTCGATTGTGTTCCTTTCATTCTTCAATATAGTATGCGCTCTGTCACATGATGGGCTCTTGTAGTATGGTTCTTTACTGATTGCTGACACCATTTCTTCCCAATATGGTGATCTTAAAACAGTGAAAGGGATTCCATTAGCACAAAAACAGCGTACGACTTTTGAATCAACATCATTCCTATCTTGCATTGGTGGGACTTTATCAAAAGAACCTGTATACGATAAAGATAAAGAAGGTTCATGTGATGCCATAACAGAGCAAGAACTTGTCTTTGACTTCTTCAACGGAAAAACGTTTGGTGAGCTCTCAACTTGCTCGACCTCTCTCTTTATCTGCTGCTGGAGATTTTTGTCAGCCTTCACAACAGAACAGTAACCAATTCCTTTACTTTCGCCTTTCTTGTGCCCCATTAGATGTGCATAAACTCGTGTATAAGTCCCACGATATATCTTCTGGCAATGTTTGCACTTAAAAACGTGAGAACCCCCGTGAGCATTTCCACATTTTCTTCCCTTTACGACATGTTTCCATAAAATAGTTGCACTGGTGTCAGTTTGACTCTCTTTTTCTAGTTGCGACCTGAGCTCATTTTGCATTTGATATTCTTCAGTGTAGATTAAATTCTTATTTTCAAAAACAAAGTTTGCCTCTCCAACACCTGGAAATTCCATGGTCCCAACATCAGTCCCAGAAGGTTCTCCATCAAAAGAAGAGCTTTGAGACATCTGTTAATATAACAGGATCAAGCTGCTAGAATGAAGAAAATAATAAGTAAATGTTGCAACTCTATAAAATGAAGAAAAATAGATCAAAATTTTGATTTTGCAAATATGTATGCCACTTTGCAGCTAATAAACTCATAGAGTAAAGTTTTTGTATTCATAAGGGTTAAGCATTCTTCAGCGGCATTGATTGGTTACGTTGTATACTTGCTAGGATAAGGCAGCAATAAGACTATTTATCCCTAGCCTCATATTGCAGAATCTACATGCTCGTGGACCGATTCAATCACAAATTATCAATTACTATCGCCCAATAGGATCACCTTGAAGACAACAGAATTACAATATAGCTAATAGCAAGAGTACAAACAGTGTGTCAGCTGACCCTCCATGTACTCTTTGCGTGCACATAACATCCAACAAGCACACTTGTGCGTCAATTCTCGCTAGCAGCTACATAACAATATGCGAATGCGCATTACCAACACTACAAAATATGTGAATACGCATTACCAACACTACAAAATTGCCATTTCGGGAGATCAAGGAGTTGTTTGGTTCGCCGCAACTGGAGGGTTTGCTACTGCCATTGTATGCAGCTATAATGTTTCGAGCTAATTACAGATAAAATGAAAGATAAGGATTTCCCCGATATTTTTCAGACACCCTAGCGTTTCACTGTCATTTCCACCACCTGCTTACATCGGATTTTAGAGCACAATATCAATTGATTTGATAAAGCCCCCCACGTTTCCCAATCGTTTCCCAGTAATGGGAATAAAAAATTGGGCTCATCCCCCCTCAAATTCCTAAACAACATCAATTAATTTCAAATAGTTTTAAGAAAAAATAAGTAATTTCTCTACAAACCATTCAACGAGAAGCAAGTTACAGACCCAAATCCACGAAATCTTAGCAAATTGATCCAATAAATGGGGGAAAAAATCGCACCTTTTTAACACTCCTGCAATCGAATCAAAATTAGGGTTCCGACGAGAGGGGAAAAGGCGCGTAATGCCATTTTAATGGTGGGCAAAAGCTTAGTGGATTGCGGGTAGGGGAGGGAAAGTAACGGGAATGTACCCACTAACGCCTCGTTTGGTACGCGGGAATGAGGAGGAATGGAATGTAATTCCCACCTCTCGTTCCCTCATACCAAACACACCTATATTTTAGATGTTGGAATGACCATTCCCTAGGAATGATCATTCCCACATACCAAACACACCTATATTTTAGATGTTGGAATGACCATTCCCTAGGAATGATCATTCCCACTATTTGTGGGAATGAATGACCATTCCCTAGGAATGATCATTCCCACTATTTGTGGGAATGAGCATTCCAAGTGAGAAGATAAGAAATGGTCATTCCTATTCAAGTGAGAATCAAAAACTAGTTAGGTATTTTTCAATTATATCCATATTAATAATAAAGAATGTTTGGGTGAGGCGCTATGCAAGTGGGCAATTTTAGATTGACAATTTAGGCTAGTATATCATTTTGCTATTTCGAAACTTATTATTTTAGTTGTTATTGTTTTATGGATTTTTGCTATTATGAATTGAGTGATTTTGATACTTTATCAAATAAGTTAATTTATATATCTAGAACTGTGGAATGTGGATATCATTCTTTTTTTTTGGACCTATGAAAGATACGATAATCTTTTTTTTTCTTTAATTTTTAAGACTAAGAAATAGCGAGTATTGTTTAAAAAATATAAACGAAACATACACCTGATGGATAACACGAGCATTAGTATAACACATACCTAGATTAATATAACATATGCGTATATAAAATTATTTAGTTATTATCATTAATGTTTATTTTTTATCTTATTAAAAATCTATGTTATTGTAAGGGCATTATTAGAAAATGAGATTTCATTCTCACTTGTGTACTAATGATACCAAACATGTGAATGGTAATGAGATTTCCATTCTAGCTTCATTCTACGAACGCACCCAAACAAGAGAATGAGAATGATCATTCCATTCCCACATGCAATCCATTCCATTCCTTCTTCCATTCCATTCCCAAGTTTGTCCATTCCCGCGTACCAAACGAGGCGTAAGGGAATGAGGTTGATTTTTAAATTTTTGGCAACGACCCCTTACATATTTTATATTTTTGAATTGGCCCACTAAATCATTTAAATTGCTATTAAGTTCCTAAATTAACACAACCAAATTGATTTTTTTAACGGGGACCTTGGTTAGAGAACTCCTACACCCAAGATAAACCCAAATTCAAGTCTTCGAGCTACTAGGAACACTCGATACTTTTCATAAAGTCGCAAAAAATTGGGTCATGACGAAAACGCATCTCAATTTCAAGAAAGTCGACAGAGTATTTAAATCTGAGATCATTGAATAGGGAGTATACCCATCCGATCATCATGGTGGACCTCCTTGGGTAACTCCAATCTAATTTTAAAATCCAATGGCCATTGAAAACCCCAACCCAAACCCTCCCCTTCTCTTTTAGTATTTAGCTTCCTCATTCTAATTCATTTTTCATAAATTCGTCAAACACTAAGGGCTAAAAAGTTCTACATTTAGTTTTGAATATCAGGTGAAAAATTTGGAGCACAATTCTTACGGTTGCATAACATAAGATATTTTTAAGTGCAACTTTGCTAAACGTACTTCAGGATGTACAAGTGCCACTAAAAACGAGTGAGGGGTACTTTAGTGCAAGATTGAGGAAACTAAAAGGTATTAAATTGCTAAAAGCAGTAGTTGTAGTGCAAATTTTTATATTAAGTTGGGTAAGTACGCAAAAATAACCTCCCTAATATCACCATTAAAGTCCAAAATCAAAAATCAAAAGAAAACCCCATGGATTCCGTCGTCGAGGTCGCCGATGATCGCGCTCCGCTCCTAAGCTCAACCGACTCCAGCGAAGTAAAACGTTCGCCGTCCGATCAGAACGAACGGCTGATATCTCTCGACGTCTTCCGTGGTCTCACTGTAGCCGTAAGCTCTCTAACTTAAGGCAGAAGAAGTTTGCGGATTTTTTTTATTATTTGCGGTTTCGATCCTTTTTATTTTTTTGAATTTACAGCTGATGATTCTTGTGGATGATGCTGGTGGAAAATTCCCCTCGATCAATCACTCGCCTTGGTTTGGGGTGACGCTGGCGGATTTTGTGATGCCCTTTTTCTTGTTTGGAGTTGGCGTTTCAATTGCCCTAGTTTTCAAGGTCAGATTTTGGTCTAATGTTTCTTTGAAATGGTTAAAGATGGAAACTTTCTTGTAGTTTACTGTGTTCCAGGTGGTTAATTTCGCAGGGAAATTAGTTTAGTACTCATGTCACAGGAATAAGTTACTATATTGAGCTATGTAAATGAATGTGTTAGCTGTTTTTGCATCAGAAGTATAATATCTGGGGCAACCAGTAAGTATGTATTTTGGTCGATGAGGTAGCCAAGACGAGCTCCTTATGACGAGCCTGCATACTTAAAGAACCACGTCAGAGGAGGTTGGGATACTAGGCACAATAACGTTGAGTTAATGATGTGAGCAAACGGGAGAATGAACACAACTAAGTGCAGCTCTGCGACTCTTTGTGAGAGGAGAAAAAAAAATTGTCTCTTTTGATTAGTGGATTCCTCTTTCTTTGCCTGTGGTCATAAGTTCCTGAACCATGTTGTCCTTTGTTTGCCTTTATCTTTCACTTGCTAGCTATATTGTGTAGTTGTCCTATGCTACATTATATTGATATTTGTTGTGTTAAAAATCCTATTGTTGCAACATGCTTGATGACTAACAGCTTTTGCGGTAATTGCCAAGTTTGTATGTACTAAGCTTGTTTTGGAATCTCCTGCAGAAAGCTTCGAACAAACTTGCAGCTACAAAAAAAGTTATAGTGAGGACACTAAAGCTTTTTGTATTAGGTGTACTGCTCCAAGGTGAGTTAATTCTACATTCATCTTGATATCTTCTGAATTCGTTTAATTTGGTCTTACTGCAGTGTAACATGTTCGATCTTACAAATAAGAGACGCATATTTGGGTTTTGAATTATTTGACTGCAGCCTTATGTGTTACTTATAACTGAGAGATTGAGACTATTTTTTTTCTTTTTTCTTTTTTGGTAACTGAAACTTTTTCATTTACCAACTGTGAAGCTTATGTACAAACAACACCCGAACAACCTGGGTTCCAAAACAAAGCCTCACACAGTACAAAAAATACATCAATCCCTCACACACTTTCCACCCAATCTCTAATTTGACGAGACAAAACAGCATGTCACCCTCTACTTAGAACATCAATCTTAACCTGTTTGACTATGACATTAACACTTACTAAATTTTATTTCATGTGCTTTTCCTTTAGGTGGATACTTTCATGGTCGTAATGATTTGACTTATGGTGTTGACATAGATCAAATACGATGGCTAGGTGTGCTGCAGGTAATGTATATTATATTCAGTAGGCTTAACATAGCTATGCCCTCTGATAAGGTTTTCCATAATTTTCTGCATATATTTATTTGACGTTATACTTTTTGCTTAGCTCTGCTTTTCTAAAATAAAGTTTCTTCTGCCATTTTATCAGTGCTGGTGGTTTTAAGGTTAAACTTAATAACCATCTATATCTCTGTGGATGCAAAGCCCAGGAACAAAAGACTTATTAATGCAATGCTGGTAATTAAGGCTAAAATGATTAGGTTAATAGATCTGTGTCTCTCTCACTTGAATCTCTCTTACTTCTCAACATTGATAATGAGAATGCTTGTGTCCTATTTCTGTCTTATCTTATCTATTTGTAATGTGTCACTACGACAATGGTTGGTGCTTGCTAATCAGAAACCTCTTTCAATTGATGGCCGTATTTTGCATTATTTTTCTAGCAATGTTTAAAGAAATAGCAATGGGCCTACCAAGATATGGTTAATAAATTCATTGAACCAGATAAAGAACAACAAATAATTGTTTTGAGATCTTTTTTAGATGGAGATATTTGTCATGTATCTGGGAAAAGTAGGAATAAGATTTTGATGGCACATTAGATGGAGTTATTTGTTATATATCTGTTTGTTGAAGCTTTTGTAACTTATGATGATTTACCATTAGAGAGAAATTCGCCTTAACAAACCGATTACTTGGCGGCACTTTGGATACTATATAAAATTTGTAGGTAACATACTAATATATTCGATCGGATTTAACTCTGAAGTCCTGATGAAGAGAAAAGAAACACTAGAACATTTAATCATGTGTCAGTTTCACTATGTATCAGAAATCTGTAGCATTTTTAGGTTTATTTTCGTAATTCAATTTTCATGTTTATCTGATATGCTTTGCATATTTTAGAGGATAGCCATTGGATACTTTTTAGCTGCAATGTCAGAGATCTGGCTCATCAACAATATTTTGGTGGATTCTCCATTGTCATTCGTGAAGAAATACTACACCAAATGGTTAGTTATGTTAATCGATATTTGCTTAAAATGTGTCCATTTTTGTTATTCTACAGACAGTGAAGTAAAGAAGTGTTAGCACTTCCTCTTACAGTTATTTTATTTTTTATGATATTTTCTTTAATAATGCTGTATATGTTGATCTTTATGTATGCTTGTTATTCTTATAAGTATCATGATCTATCAAAAGTTTAATTTGATCTGAATGAAAATATCACACTTCTGTAGTCTACACTGTAATAGAACATTCAATATTCTGGTGGAAGGTGCAAAAACTGTGGTTCACAGACATGAATTGATGATAGCAGGAGTTAAAGTGGCTTGGGGAGTTGAAGCTGGATTGGAGGTTGTTCAATTCCACAATGTGACTCAACATTCAGGCTCCAGATGCGAATTAGATGTTAAATTCTGTCAATAGATATAAATTTAAAAACTCAATGAACTACAAGTTCTTTTTGGCATTTGTCAACTGATTTTATGGAAGTTCAAGCTAGAGTTCATTATAGATGAATGGTACAAGACACAGTCTGTAATTCATGTCCAATTACTGGTATCCTAGCTTGAATTCATTATATATGAATGACCAAAGACACATGCTGTTCATGTTCTCCTACTCGTATCCTGGCTGGAATTCATTACAGATGAATGA